TTTCTCAGCTTCCACTGCTGCTACTTCAATATCACTGAATATAATACGAGGCGGGTCACTCAAATCCATTCTGTTCCTGTTGCCTCGTCGCGTCCCTGGTGGTAACAGTTTGGCATGGAAGTTTAACTTCATAGTGCATTGGCGCATGGGCCTCCGTGCTCCCCTCCTGTAATGTGCTAGAATTAACACCATAATTATTTGGCATGTACCCTCAGTTCGTAGAGCACAACGGCGCGCTCTTCTTCTCCGTGATGTGCACAGTTGCACCTTCTCTCCCCCCTCTGTATAGAGGTGACATAACTCGCATCATTATTTTATTTTTTGGCGCTACACTACGCGTAACGCCATTTACAGAGCACAATGTGCGCTACATTCTGCTGCTTCTCCTCCGTGATGTGCTAGGTGCGCCTCTTCTCTCTCTCTGTCCTCCCCCTTCTGCATACTAGGTGACATAATTCGCATCTTTTTGGCGCTACACTCTGCGTATATACTGCTCTTGTGTGGCTTCCACGGTATTCATTGTTATTACCTGACGATGGCCAAGTGCCGAAACGCTGTAAAAATAACGGAACTGGTTCGGATGTGATGTGCAGCGCTATGGGAATGGGTGTGAATTCTTTTCGAATTCTTTTCATTTTTTAATATACCGGGTATATCGATAGACTTCTCGTGTGCTCAGGATGGCAGTTGTGAGTCAGTCACGTGAGTATTCAAGTCGGCAAGAAAACCGCGAGCTCCCATGTAGGGAGCAACACACTCTTCCCCTACTATCGCCGAAGTCGCACCAACAATCTTTTTCACGGGTAAATTTTGACAAACATATTCACAAAACATTCAAGATGAAGTGATCAGGGAGCGAGAGAAACTCATACTATGCTCAAGTCCGCCGCCTTAGCCTCCACATCTGCCAGAGAATCACCTCATCCTTAGGAAGCTGGCAAACTTTGCGAGCGGCACGCAGACATGTAATGCTCGAAACACAACAGGACGAAAGCCAGCCTGCAGCGAAGGTGGGCAATCAGCATAGAATACGCCTCCCTCCCACACAGAGACTGGAGTTGTGCGAACCGGCTCACCAATGCAGCAGCATCCTTGCCGCATCCGCAGTGGAAGAGAGGACAAATGGGAGAATAGTGGACCGCTCCCCTTCTCGGACTTTCCGATCTTACTGACGCCGTTTTTCTTGCCCGTGGTGCTGTTAGCAGGCGGGAGAGAGGAGGCGCGGTTCGAAGACGCATAACCCCTGGCCTGGCTTTGGAGCTACCTGGCCAGTCGTCAACAGCAAGTTGTATGTCGCCGCAACCCCCTCGGGGGAACAGTATCCTGCCAACCGTGGTGTCTCTCAGGGTTCTGAACTTGGTCCGCTCCTGTTCACCCTAAAAACCCGCCCTCTTCCAACATGCCTGGCTTTCTCCACCAGCCAACTCTATGCCGATGATACAAATGTCTATGCTGCACACAAGAGTGCCTATGCAGCAATTGAAATGCTTGCGAAAGACTTGCACTCAGGATGCGTTTACACGACGACGATTGAAAACGATTTGCGTTTACACGACAACGAAGTACGACCTAAACGGAACGAAGTCGTTACGTTTACTACTATCGTTCACACGACAACACCCGAAAACGATACCTAAACGGAACGGAATGGAAACGCACTTCAAAGGGTTTGAAACGTTTTCAAAACGTTTTCAAAACGTTTTCGTTCTCGTGTAAACGGCGAAAACAGTGAAAGCGATTGGAAACGGAGCGCGGTCATGGAAACCATTGCGCCCGGGACTATATTTCGCGGGAAATACGCGACCTTTGTGACCACTAGCGCGTACGAACTCGAACTAACGTGTTACTTCCTGCACTTGCGCCAAGACACCACATGCTAACTCCAGCCTGATCACCCACTTCCGTTTCCGTGTAAACGGTTCAAAACATTTTGCCGTTCTCGTGTAAACGGTTTGAAAACGATTCGAGGCCAGCCCGTTTTCGTTCCGTTTCGTTTCATCTCCGTGTAAACGCATCCTCAGTCAGCGACTTGTGCACTCCATAGAACTCACTTTAAACCCGGCAAAGACTCAGTATCTTGTTCTGCGGAAGCCCACGCAGGCATCCCGTCAGTTGCGATTCTGTGGCACTGTGCTTGAACACTCATCTTGTGCTAAGTATCTTGGCATCATTATTGATGAGCACTTGACATTCCGTCAGCAAGTTGATGCACTCGGAAAGAAGGTCAGTGCAAAAGTGAATGCATTTCAGCGCTGCCACACCATGTTGACCAATGCAGCCAGGCGCACATTTTATCTCACTTTCGTCCAGTCTACACTGGAATATGCAAGCAATGGTTATGTGCACAGTCTGCGACAACATGAATATGATTATGTCAGCAGCACCTCTCGCCCTTCATTGTGTACTGTATTTGGCTACCCACCCACCGCAGATGTTCAGTGTATTCTGTCTCGAAACAACCGTACACCTATCACTATTCGTTTCCCTTAAACCATAATATTATAATCTTGTATTCACACTAGTCAGAACAACAGATGGCTTGATCAGTCACAACTTAAAGTTTCACTTATCAGGTGATATAGTCTTGTATTCAGATGCGTTCATTCTTCTGCCAGTTCATTTCTGTGCTGCCTTTTCTGCCTTCGTGCCAATTCTGAGGCTCGTAGCCGCACCTACACAGAGTCTCAAGTCTCGCTTGGACCTGTACTGCCACGAGTCTCCTCTCGATTTGGTTATTCCTCTCTTTCATTTTTAGCCACTGACTGCGGGAACTCAGTTCCGGCATCGGTCCGCCTTAGAATACAATACGGGTTGAACACCCGTACATCAATAAATGTGTCCCTGAACCGACTCTCTCCTCCCCTCCCCCCCCCCCAAACTCCACTGGCCACCAAATCCAAATGAGCTTGATCCTACGTTGTTGCTGACGGGAGCTGGCCAGAGATGTGGCTCCACGGCGACGCTGTGGGGGCCACCCTTCAGAGTGCTTGCTAGTATGTGCCACACAAAAATTGGGAGTTGAGAGCTGGTGTACGTTTTTCGAGCTCCGTCTGGTGAACGTTTGTCAGCTGATTCGACATGCCTGGGGAGGGTCCGAACCCAACAGGAACTCTCCAGCAACATAAGGTAGCGGACCATGACGGGTAGGATCCCTGGAGACGGATATCAGCCACCGAGCTGAAAGCAAATACAGTTACTTTTCCTGCCGTGAACGACACCAGACTTAATTGCTACACGCAGTGTCTGGGGAAGCATGGTATTCAAGCCGAAAAAATCCTTTCTCTGCAGGGAAGCACTGGCTGTCAGTGCTGATTAACTTTTGCTGACCGGGTTTGCCAGCATGGTTTTGTTATTAATGGAAGCCATATCATCCCAAGATCTGTCCTCGAACACAACATTCAACTCCAAATACACAACAGGATTGAGCACAATAATGCCACAGTCATTCAAGACAAAGGTCTACCGACACCTGAGAGACAGCAACTGGTACTGGGCAACAGATTCCCTGTAATTGTTCGAGCTCATCGCTCGCCGAACCCGCGTACCTGGCCTTGCTCAGAGTGCTCAGCTGTGTTTTGCTTACATGTACATGGTACTTCAGGCCAAACACTGATAATTCACAATCTCTCTTTATCTTGTTTTTATTTTGCTAAACACCAAACCGGCACTTTTACCCATTCTACTTCCCCATAGCTAGATCTAGCTTCGCTTTACATTTCTGTTTCTTTTTCCTGGTGCGTGCTTGTTGCATTGAAGCCAAGACCCCTGGTACCTCACCATCACTGCTGCCCAGTGCAGCCCCTGCTCAGTGGCTGTTTGTTTTTGTCCACATAATTATTTATTTTAAGAGTTGGGTTTGTGAATAAAGGTAAAAAATGTGCCAGATTGATTGTTGATGCTGTTGTGATCTCCGCACTTTCTCAGTGCCCCACCATCAGGTCTGGGAAATAGCCTAGTTAGGGCATCGGAGGTTTCCTTGGAAATCAAGTACGGGACGCGTCTGCAAGCGTCATATTTTTTCTGCACAAAGTGATAATGGATTTGTAAGCACCGTGCATCAAAAAAATAAGCAAATTTCTTTGCCTTGCATGTCCAATGCGGAAAAACCTGCTGAGTTGCGGAGATTCTGTGCATGCGGAGATGGGAGTAATAGGACTCCTTGAGATATCCAGTGAAAACAAATTCACTTTCATGTGCCGATTTCTCAAAAAGTGAAGAAAATAGATCGCTTGGAACGAATTTATCACATTTTGTCGTGGTTTATTGAGCCGAGGCAATGAAGAAGAGCGGTATCCAGACGCGGCGCTCTAAGCGTAGAGTTAGTGTTACTCCTGGACACTACTCTTGCCCTAACCCTTTCCATTCGGATTGGGAAAGCTCTTCCTCGTCCGCCATGGACACGACAACGAAGAGGGCTGTTCTGGACGTCCTCTTCAGTATTGCTGGACGTACTGTTTCCTCGATCTGCAGAGGGTGCAGAGCTGTGGCCGACTGCAAGCCGGAAGTCGTCCAGCACGAGCTGTATGCACCACCAAGGACGTCCGCAGACTCGCTCAAGGTTCCATCTCCAAGTGAGGTACCTGCCCCACCTAGTCCACTCCCAGAAAACAAACCTGTAGGGTGTGGGGACTGTGAGGAACTAAGGGATTTGGTGGAGAATTTGCAGAAGGAGGTTGAGGGGTTGCGGGAAGAGAACGTGTTGCTATTTTAAAGCGAGTGGCGATGTGTGCATCGCACGAGCAAGCGCAAAGACACGAATTCGGGTGGAGTTAGGAAAAATGGTTTATTTTTTAGAAGTTGACGACGTTGCCGACAGTAAGGTATTGGGATTATTTTTTTCGTGTAAATTGATGCTGTTTTGCAACATCTTTTTGGATACAAAACAAACATTTATTAAAATCTTCTACCAAGTTGGCATGTTGCCTGGTAATTTCTGGGGAATTCAAGCTCTTCATAGCTCGTATAAAACTATTGTCTCCACATAGATCATTAATTCTTACGTGAACATGTAGGATTCGTGGGTGACCATATTCCATTAGCTCCACATTGAAGTTGTCCTCGTGTTACGGTCTGATGTTCACCAGTAACATAATACCCGCTTCCACATGTGTACTCAATGTTTTGCTGATACTTGACTGGGGCTTCCGATGATGATACAGTCCATCTAGTGGTACGTCTCGGAACTGCACACGTTTGACCTATAGAAAGCATGTACAAGTAAATGGTCAGGAAAAAATGGATAATTATAACATGTCTACAGCTAATTCGTACCCCTGCTTAACGACATCATCTCTAATTTGAAAGTCCCTTTCCATAGCTTCAACTTCAGTTTACTGTAAAACCGGAAAATCTAACGACCAAAAAGTTTAACGTTTTTGTAATGTTGGCAGGATTACGTGCAGAGAGTTTAACGATGGTTACCTGGCCGCCCACCTGTGTGCGCATCTTTACACATACATCTAGCGATAACTTCTTTTTTTCAAATAACGAAAAATAATTGGTCGTTAAAAAAGTTAGACTTTGTGAGCCGTTAGAGCCCTTAGGCCGATTCCACACCACACCAAATCCTGTCAAAAAGGCAATTTTTCAGGCACTTTTCTGGCAAGTTGCCATGGCGATCACTTTGAGAAACGCGCGAAGGTGAAAAGTTGTTTAAATTCTTTATTCTCACGATGGTACCATCGCCAATAAGAGATAAATTTTATGAGAAGGTGAGATTGTGGGTTAAACAGTTGGAAAGTGATTTACATCACTTTGAACTTTACAAGTATGGGAGAGGGTGAGCGCTGCAGGAGCAGATTGAGTTAATCAGCAGTGAGCAGATTTCTTGTTTGAAAGCAGGTCGGGAGGAGACGTCACGAATGCAAGCAGGGAGGGCATTGTAGTATTCTAGGGACTCGTACAGTGGGGAGTCTTTACAGCGATCGGTTCTGGAGGGTGGGAGGTGCCAAGTGCGTGCGTGTCGAAGGCTGTACTGGGTCGTAACTTGAGCGGGGGTGTTGAGCAAGCGTATGTGTTGTGGGGCATATTGGTATTTTATGGAGTGAGCAAAAAGGGTGAGCTTCACTTTGCGGCGAGAGAACATTGTCGGCCATTTGAGCCGATGGAGCAGTGTTGAATGATCCAGAGGAGTGTAGAGGGGGAGACGGAGGCAGATTCTGGCCGCCTTGCGCTGGATTCGCTCAAGACGGTCAAGGGCTGCGATTGAGAGCGGGGTGACAGCAATGCATGCATATTCAATTATAGGCAGGATATACGTTTTGTAAATGAGAAAGAGTGATTTAGTGTGTAGAGTTGATTTGAGCCTAAAGAGAATATTAAAAGATTTTACGGCTTTCTTCAGCACAAAGTCAAGGTGGGCTGAACATCTTAGGTCGTGCTGAAAGATGATGCCGGGGTGACGATGTTGTGTTACTGTTTCTAGTAGGGTTTGGCCAAGTTTTATTTCGGGTAGTCGTGGTGGGGGTCGGTTAGCATGGTAGAACGGGAGGATGACGGTTTTCGTTTTATTGACTAGCAGGTGCCAGCGCTCTAGCCATTCTGCTGCGGCATCGACGCTTCTTTGTAGCGCAGCCTCACACTCAATGTAGCTGCCTGCAATGGCAATTAGTGCGGTGTCGTCCGCGAACTGGCTACACGAGGTTGTAGCATTTTCACAGGCAGTGGGCAGGTCAATGGTGTACGCCAGGAACAGAAGTGGTCCCAGGACCGAGCCCTGGGGCACTCCCGCTGGTATTGGTATTATTATTATTATTATTATTATTATTATGAAATGACCCAAAGGCAATGTGCCTATCGAGGGGTTCATTTGATTGAAAGAACAGTAGATGTAGATGTAGGTACAAAGAAAAGTAGGGATTGATGAGGAGAGAAATGGGGAAAATCAACTGCAAGGTGGCGGAATTCCGTTGATTGCATAAGCATGGTCAGCTGTAAATTTCCTGAGAGCAGCTTTGAACTTATAGAGCGAGGCTTCCGATGTTAGACTGAGGAGTAAACAGTTCCATAGAATAGCAGTTCGGAACATGAAGAGAGACTTAGACAATGATTTAAATTTGGGAAGAATGATTTTATTTGGTCGTCGCTCACTATTCGTAATCCTGAAATGGAAATCAGCAAGGTAACCACGATGATGGAAAACATATCTGTGAAAGGTAGTGAGACTGATGATTTGACGACGATAGGCTAGTGACTCTAGGGCGCATTTAGAATTTAAGACAGATTTGGAAGAAGTGTAATCAAATGCAATTTTTTCCTTTTTCAGTAGAGCTCTAGCAAACCTTGCCTGTAATTGATCAAGAGTGGTCATGGGTTTCTTATTAGATCCAAACGACCACACCGTACAGCTATATTCGATCACAGGTCTTACGAACCCTTTGTACAGTATGATCATTGCCGAAGGCGTAAGTTGCTGGGACATTATTGACAGTAAACCACCTATATGAAGGCGGATGTTGTGCCTTCAACCTGCACCCGCTGTCTGCGTCCTGTCAAGTAGGCTTCGAGCCAATTGTGAGCCTTGCCGTCGACACCGTAGTGGCTCAGCTTTTTCAGCAAGCCTTGATGCCATACACGATCAAAGGCTTTACTGAGATCGAAGAAACACGTTACAACATGCTTTCCCGCATCCCTAGTTGTGGATATCTGGTGGACGATCCGTGCGAGTTGCAGTTCGGTCCCGTCTTGTTTCCTGAAGCCGGATTGGTTGGAGGGTAAGTGCGGTACTATGTGATTGTACAGACGAGAGTGGACTATTTTTTTTTGGGTCGGTAGTTGGTGGGATGGGAGGGGTTGCCCGACTTGGGGATGGGTTTAATAGTTGCGTCTTTCCAATCCTGTGGTATTTCTCCGGTTCTGAAGGACAGATTGTAGAGACTAGTGAGAGATGGGGAGATTTCCTTTGCAGTTTCTTTCAGGAGCCGAGTTGGGATGTTGTCAAAGCCTGGGCTCTTGTTGTTGTTGTTGTTTGTTTATTTAGAGTCCAAGAACAAACAGGAAAATTTGCCTAATTACATGATATCGACTAAAAAGGAGAATAAAGTATAAAGGGCCAATGAAGGTAATGATACTGAGTAAAGTGGGTAATAAAGTATGACATTGTAAAAGCCAGTTAGGCCAGTAAAGGAAATGATAATACAGCGGGCAGTGGCATTACTGAAAAGCAGCATGTGCTGGGAGGGATCGCATGAATCGGTGGTACTGTGGGATTTTCCTGATGTCGGGCTGGAGCCTGTTCCACAATGATACACATTGGAGTGAGGCAGAATGTGTGAAAGAGGATGTCTTAGTGACTGGAAATTTAAGTGCTCGATTTCCCTGACTACGTGTAGCACGGCCGGCATTAAGAGGTCTGAACATATCGGTAAGCAATGTGCTGCATTTACCCTGAAGGCAGCGCCAAGTGTTGCCAAGGAGCTTGTGGCAGAACATAACTTCTAGCGAGTGCAAGCGCAATTGGCAATACAGCGGCGCAGATGGGGATGCAAATGGAGCGTTGTAAACACAGCGGACTGCGCGCTTGAGTAGACGCTCCAGGCGCTCGAGCTGATGTGAGGTGAGGCCAGCAGAGAAACAGTTGCTAGCATACAGGAAGTCAGGAAGGATCAGGGACTTCAGGTACGTGATGCGGCACGGGAGGGGCATGCAGCGCCTGTTTCTAAACAGGACAGCTATTTTACAGGCAGCTCGCTTGGCGATCTGGTTGACCATTGTGGTCCACTTGAGATCTTGGTCAATGTGGACACCAAGATACTTTGCGGATTCTACTTGTGCCAGATGAACTCCAGAGCACATAACGCTGACACGAGGATTCACAGAACGATGGGCAGGGATGAATAAAATCTGGGTTTTACTCTAGTTTAGTACCAGGTTCCTGCTGGCAAGCCATCTGGCCAGGTGTGTAACTGCAGAAGACATACTGCGTTCCAGCTGATGTTTGCTTGTTGTCTACAAAGCAACACCAGCACTCTTTTTCAAGGCAACTTTTTACATTTTCAGGACACTTTTCTGACTTTTCTTCAGCCTTTCGATTTTTTCTGAATTTGTTTCCTGTCGTATCTTTCAGTTGTGGTGAGTTGTGAGCTGTAAACAATGCCTAGGGTCATGTTTAGCCAGGAGATTGAGGGCAGGCTGATTGAGCTTTGGAACGGACATTTGAGGCGACCTCCGGGCGGTACAGGTCGCAGTAGCTACTCCGGAGGAGATCGCCATCAAGCTGAATTAGTTTGCTGAACAGCTCCGGGAGGAGGCAATCTATACTGCGTCGATCGTCCATTCCAAAATCGACAACATGAAAACGAAGGCGAAAGGACTGTACGAGACATACACAAAGAAAACTGCCACCGGAATGCCTGTTGGCGAGGTTGACGAATAGTCGACCTATGATCTGGAATCCGCCTACACAGCGTGTTCAAATTTCAAGAATTGGCCCGCGAAAATGGGTGATATTTGAGGATTTGGACCAACAAAGAGCCTCTCCACCACCGCCGTTGCTAGATCAAGCATAGGAAAGCCTCACAGACTAACCTTAAAAGCAAAGTCCCGTGATCGACACTTGTAGGTGTGAATGCAGCTTAACTTTATAAGCCACTTTATGCCTTCAATGCAGCTGCAGGCCATGCTGATGTCTACGCGAACAAGCACATAATAATAATAATTATGCCTTCAAGGCAAACCACTTTCGGCGTAGTGTGGAATCGGCCCTACACACTATGTACATGTAAAACGCAACTAACTTGAGCATACATGTACGTTACGTATGCACCAACCTGATCAAGTGCAGTTGCACACTGACAAGTGATCTGCTTTTTACGTATTCGTTGCCATGGTAGCCTTGTGGTGGGGGGAAATTCAACAAGAAAATGTAGTGCAGTTCGGATGAAAAGTTCTGCTGTCAGAACGAGTGCGGTGTGTGCTTCTTCGATTTCGTTCCGCATCATCGATTATCGATCTTTTAGTGGATTACCTTCCCGTTGAAGTCCACATCAAAACCGATTGACTTTCCATACTTGTTGAGCTCCTCCGCAATTTTTTTTCTTTTTGGGATCGCTTCATCATACTGCCGCTCTTCCTTTTTTTGATATATCGCCCACAGCTTCATGAGCTTCGCCTCAATTTCTTCTGTGAAGTGGATTTTCGGCATCGTGTCACGCTCAGCAAGCCAACAATATCGAGTCTACTACGGCTTGAACAACACGAG